GGGGAAAAAATTCTCTCTGAGGCAGGGCAGAAGTGAAATTGTTGGGTCACATTGCATTGTTGGTGTCGTCCGCTTCTCATTTACGTCCACCCATCACTTCCCTTCCTATATGAGGACGGGAGGGAGGAACAGTAGAAGTTTACAGAAAGCTACTTACGAAATAATAATTGTGGTAGTCGGCCCAAAGTACCATTTTAATCAGCATCAACTAACCTAGTGACACACTGAATAACTGCACCTAAGAAGAAAATACACCCACATACTCAGGATTTATGAAAATTTAGAACATTAAACTAATGAGGTGTATTGTGTGTCACCCTGTACGTCCGAGAATGTTCCAGAAAGTGTTGTGTGTCACCCTGTACGTCCGAGAATGTTCCGGAAAGTGTTGTGTGTCACCCTGTACGTCCGAGAATGTTCCAGAAAGTGTTGTGTGTCACCCTGTACGTCCGAGAATGTTCCGGAAAGTGTTGTGTGTCACCCTGTACGTCCGAGAATGTTCCAGAAAGTGTTGTGTGTCACCCTGTACGTCCGAGAATGTTCCAGAAAGTGTTGTGTGTCACCCTGTACGTCCAAGAATGTTCCAGAAAGTGTTGTGTGTCACCCTGTACGTCCGAGAATGTTCCAGAAAGTGTTGTGTGTCACCCTGTACGTCCGAGAATGTTCCAGAAAGTGTTGTGTGTCACCCTGTACGTCCGAGAATGTTCCAGAAAGTGTTGTGTGTCACCCTGTACGTCCGAGAATGTTCCAGAAAGTGTTGTGTGTCACCCTGTACGTCCGAGAATGTTCCAGAAAGTGTTGTGTGTCACCCTGTACGTCCGAGAATGTTCCGGAAAGTGTTATCCATAAAGATTCCTACATATTTACCTGGAGAGAGCTCCGGGGGTCAACGCCCCCGCGGCCCGGTCTGTGACCAGGCCTCATGGTGGATCAGAGCCTGATCAACCAGGCTGTTACTGCTGGCTGCACGCAATCCAACGTACGATCCACAGCCCGGCTAGTCAGGAACCGACTTTAGGTGCTTGTCCAGTGCCAGCTTGAAGACTGCCAGGGGTCTATTGGTAATCCCCCTTATGTATGCTGGGAGGCAGCTGAACAGTCTCGGCCCCTGACACTTATTGTATGGTCTCTTAACGTGCTAGTGACACCCCTGCTTTTCATTGGGGGGATGTTGCATCGTCTGTCAAGTCTTTTGCTTTCGTTGTGAGTGATTTTCGTGTGCAAGTTCGGTACTAGTCCCTCTAGGATTTTCCAGGTGTATATTATCATGTATCTCTCTCGCTCAAGCACTCCCAGTAATTGAGGTGTTTTATCTTCGTTATGCGTGCCGTGAAGGTTCTCTGTACATTTTCTAGGTCAGCAATTTCACCTGCCTTGAAAGGTGCTGTTAGTGTGCAGCAATATTCCAGCCTAGATAGAACAAGTTGACCTGAACAGTGTCATCATGGGCTTGGCATCCCTAGTTTTGAAGGTTCTCATTATCCATCCTGTCATTTTTCTAGCAGATGCGATTGATACAATGTTGTGATCCTTGAAGGTGAGATCCTCCGACATGATCACTCCCAGGTCTTTGACGTTGGTTTTTCGCTCAATTTTGTGGAAGGAATTTTTGTACGCTGATGAAGTTTTAATTTCCTCATGTTTACCATATCGGAGTAATTGAAATTTCTCATCGTTGAACTTCATATTGTTTTCTGCAGCCCACTGAAAGATTTGATTGATGTCCGCCTGGAGCCGTGCAGTGTCTGCAATGGAAGACACTGTCATGCAGATTCGGGTCTCATCTGCAATGGAAGACATGGTGCTGTGGCTGACATCCTTGTCTATGTCAGATATGAGGATGAGAAACAAGATGGGAGCGAGTACTGTGCCTTGTGGAACAGAGCTTAGCATACCTTTGACTAATCTTTTCGAAATATCACTACAAACTGGCATAGTGGCTGATAAGTAGAAAATGGCAAATGTAATACCTTTTTACAAGGCAGGTGACAGGTCCTTGGCTTCGAACTATAGACCAATAAGCCTTACCTCCATAATGGGAAAATTTATGGAATTAATAATTGCCCAAGCAATTCGTAGCCATCTTGACAGGCACAGATTGATTAATGAATCTCAACAAGGTTTTACAAAGGGGCGTTCCTGTCTTACGAATTTACTAACATTTTTCACTAAGGTGTTTGAGGAGGTAGATCATGGTAATGAATATAATATTGTGTATATGGACTTCACTAAGGCTTTCGATAAAGTTCCACACCAGAGGCTATTGAGGAAACTTAGGGCACACGGAATAGGAGGAGAAATTTTTTCCTGGGTAGAGGCATGGCTGACAAATAGACATCAGAGAGTTTGCATAAATGGGGAGAAATCAGAATGGGGGCACGTCACAAGCGGTGTTCCTCAGGGGTCAGTGTTGGGCCCGTTGTTGTTCACAATTTACATAAACGATATAGATTAGGAAATAAATAGCGACATAAGCATATATGCTGATGACACCAAAATAGGCCGTCCAATTAATTCTAATGAGGACATTAGAGCACTCCAGGATGATTTGAATAGACTGACGCAATGGTCGGAGAAGTGGCAGATGCAGTTTAATATTGACAAATGCAAAGTTCTAAATGTTGGACAGTTAAATAACCATGCCACATATAAACTAAATAATGTAGATCTTAATACTACTGATTGCGAAAAGGATTTAGAAGTTCTGGTTAGCAGTAATCTAAAACCAAGACAACAGTGCATTAGTGTTCGCAATAAAGCTAACAGAATTCTTTGCTTCATATCTAGAAGTATAAATAATAGAATTCCTCTGGTTGTTCTTCAACTCTATATATCCTTGGTTAGGCCTCATTTAGACTATGCTGCTCAGTTCTGGTCACCGTATTACAGAATGGATATAAATGATCTGGAAAACGTACAGAGGAGGATGACAAAGATGATCCCATGTATCAGAAATCTTCCTTATGAGGATAGACTGAGGCCCTGAATCTGCACTCTCTAGAAAGGCGTAGAATTAGGGGGGATATGATTGAGGTGTATAAATAGAAGACAGGAATAAATAAAGGGGATGTAAATAACGTGCTGAAAATATCTAGCCTAGACAGGACTCGTAGCAATGGTTTTAAGTTGGAAAAATTCAGATTCATGAGGGATATAGGAAAGCACTGGTTTGGTAATAGAGTTGTGGATGAGTGGAACAAACTCCCAAGTGCAGTTATTGAGGCTAAAACGTTGTGTAGTTTTAAAAATAGGTTAGGTAAATACATGAGTAGGTGTGGGTGGGTGTGAGTTGGACCTGATTAGCTTGTGCTACTAGGTCAGTTGTCGTGTTCCTTCCTTAAGTGAATATGGCCTGCCCTGACTAGGTTGGGGCATTGGCTTAAGCCGGTAGGAGACTTGGACCTGCCTTGCATGGGCCAGTAGGCCTGCTGCAGTGTTCCTTCTTTCTTACGTTCTTATGTTCTTATGAGCTTTTCACAGTAGCCGCCTCAGACTTTACTCTGTTGACTACTACTCTTTGTGTTCTGTTTGTGAGGAAATTATAGATCCATCTACCAACTTTTCCTATTATTCCTTTAACACGCATTTTGTGTGCTATTACGCCATGGTCACACTTGTCGAAGGCTTTTGCAAAGTCTGTATATATTACATCTGCAATCTTTTTGTCTTATAGTATATCTAGGACCTTGTAGTGATCCAGTAGCCGAGACAGACAGTAGCGACATGCTCTAAACCCATGTTGCCCTGGGAAACATGGGTTTAGAGCAGGGTATCTAGATGGGTGGCAATCTTTCTTCTTAGGACCCTTTCAAAGATTTTTATGGTATGGGATGTTAGTGCTATCGGTCTGTAGTTCTTTGCTCTTGCTTTACTGCCCCCTTTGTTGAGTGGGGCTATGTCTGTTGTTTTTAATAACTGTGGGACGACCCCCGGGTCCATGCTCCCTTTCCATAGGATGGTAAAAGCTCGTGACAAGGGCTTCTTGCAGTTCTTGATAAACACGGAGCTCCACGAGTTTGGCCCTGGGGCAGAGTACATGGGCATGTCATTTATCGCCTGTTCGAAGTCATTTGGGGTCAGGATAATATCAGATAGGCTCGCTAAAAACTGAGTCATATTGGGACTTGAGTGGTTCACTCATTTCCTTGCTGTCATCTGTGTATGACCCATCTTGTTTAAGATGGGGCCCAATACTGGATGTTGTTCTCGACTTTGATTTGGCATAAGAAAAGGAATACTTTGGGTTTCTTTCGATTTCATTTATGGCTTTTAGTTCTTCCCGCGACTCCTGACTCCTACAAGATTTCTTTAGCTTAAGTTCGATGTTTGCTATTTCTCTGACCAGTGACTCCCTACGCATTTCAGATATATTGGCCTCTTTTAGCCGCTCTGTTATTCTTTTCCTTCGCCTGTAAAGGGAGCGCCTGTCTCTTTCCATTTTACATCTACTCCTCCTTTCTTTTAAAGGAATAAGCCTTGAGCATACATCGAGTGCCACCAAGTTAATCTGTTCAAGGCATAAGTTGGGGTCTGTGTTGCTTAGTCTATCTTCCCAGTTTATATCGTTTAGGACTTGATTTACTTGGTCCCGCTTTATGTTCTTGTTATTGAAGTTGAATTTGGTGAAGGCTCCCTCCTGACTAATCTCATTTTGTCGGTCTGGGGCTCCGCGCATGCATGTCTGAACCTCGATTATGTTGTGATCTGAGTATATTGTTTTTGATATGGTGACATTTCGTATCAGATCATCATTGTTAGTGAAAATGAGGTCTAGTGTATTCTCCAGTCTAATAGGCTCTATTATTTGCAGGTTTAAGTTGAATTTTGTGCAGAGATTTAAAAGCTCGTGTGAGTGTGTGAGTTATTGTCAGAGCTGCCTCCTGGTGTTATCACTGCAGCCTACCTTACTTAAAAAACAATATATTCTGCCTTCATAAATAAGGAATAAAAAAATATTAAAAAATCGTGTGACTGAAGCTGCTACATAAACGAAGACTCACCAAGAATATCCTGCTGGGGAAGCCACTTGCTGATCATCACGTTGTCAGGGACGTCCTCCAGCTCTTCCTCGTATTTCCAGATGACTCGCTGTGGCAGCCTGCGGAAAGCCTGGATGAAGAGGTCGCGGTACTGGACTGGCATTGTGGTACTGCGAGCAACAGATCCCAAACTGAAGTAAATTACGCCAGAAGATCCCGCTCCTGTGATCCACGATTCTAATTCCTTAAAAAATAAGTGTGTTTTATTATATTTTAGGCAGAGAATTACACAATGAAAGTTAGGTCAGAAGAGCAAGACAACTGACCTGAGTCTGTGAAGAAAGAACTATGGCTCATTGACATGACAAGCGACATTGCTTACTGTGGCGTAACAAGGTGATACAGACAAATGTCAGGTAGTCAGAACAACTCACTTCAGGAAGAGGGTTGGCGGGACGACAGTGCATGGCGCCCACCTCCACCTGTGAGGGCAGGAGAGGCAGTGGTGTGCTGATAGAAAAGTGACTGTTGAGCAGCGATAAACTCACGTTCCTCTCCAGGTCCAACAACAGTGGCAGCTCCGGGAACTGAGCTGAGATCTGAGGAATACCACCAATACTTTATTGTGAACAGTTCTTGTGGCGGGTCTGGCATAGTAACAAAATATCAAGATGCTTCTGTTGCTTAAAGTAACATTAGCTTCAACTCACTATAGTAAAGTTTTAAGTATACCTTTTATTAAACTGAATAATTTTATATAGATAACTCTGCTCATTGTTTAACAGTCATCGGCTCCATCAGCCACTTGTACTGTCTGTGATGGTATATTGCTCACCTCTTTTTGTATCTGTGGCACAACGCTCCATTTCCTCCAGTAAAGCGGAAACCCAATGTGTACGAAAGTATTGTAGAGTCGATGCCAGAGACTCATGGGTCTTGGGTAGTCCTCCAAGAAATTAGGGGCGAAGGCTGGGTTGAGAACGTTCCCCAGAACGGAGCTCTGACGTGGTTCCATCCCTGACGTTGAAAGGGTAATGAATGGAATTTCGTGCAGGAAGGGATATACAGCCTGTAGGAGAGCCAGTTCTGAGCCGCAATACTGAATTTAACCAAAACTTTCATGAAAAATCCAGAATTAAGAACATAAGAAAGAAGGAACACTGCAACAGGTCTACTGGCCCATGCAAAGTAGGTCCATGTCCCCCCCCCCCGGATTAGCCCAATGACCTACCCACCCCGGATTAGCTCAATGACCCACCCAGTCTGGCCACCTCCACTCAAGGAAGGAGCACGGCACCAGATCCAGCAGCACAAGCTAGTCAGGCCCAACTCACACCCACCCACACCCACTCATGTATTTATCTAACCTATTTTTAAAACTACACAACATTTTAGCCTGAATAAGTGTACTTGGAAGTTTGTTCCGCTCATCCACAACTCTATTACCAAACCAGTGCCTTCCTATATCCTACCTGAATTTGAATTTTTCCTACTTGAAACCATTGCTGCGAGTCCTGTCTTGGCTGGAAATTTTCAGCACGCTATTTACATCCCCTTTATTTATTCCTGTTTTCCATTTATACACCTCGATCATATCTTCCCTAATTCTTCGCCTTACGAGAGAGTGCAGATTCAGGGCCCTCAGTCTATCCTCATATGGACGATTTCTGATACATGGGATCGTCTTTGTCATCCTCCTCTGTACGTTTTCCAGAGCATTTATATCCATTCAGTAATACGGTGACCAGATCTGTGCATGCAGCATAGTCTAAATGAGGCCTAACCAAGGATATATAGAGTTGAAGAACAACCTGAGGACTTCTGTTATTTATACCTCTAGATATGAAGCCAAGAATTCTGTTAGCTTTATTGCGAACACCCTCACTAAATAGTGAAACCCATCATACAGAAAGACAACAGCAGATTCACAGTTTTTTCTAATCCCAGTGTTGCTGGGATTACAAAAGTCACTAAAAATGAAGGCATATTATCAAGGAACCATAGTTCCTTGATAATGTTGGTGGTGACAGTGGTGGTGGAGGTGGTGGTTGGTGGAAGTCGGGGTGGTGGTGGTGATTAAGGGGTTGGTGGTGGTGTTTGTTGTTGGTGGTAGTGGTGATAGGTGGTGGTAATGGATGGTGGTAACGGTTGGTGGTGGTGGTGGTTGGTGGTGGTGATGGTGGTGGTGATTGGTGGTGATGGTGGTGGTTGGTGGTGATGTAATTCATCATTAATTAATGTTGTTAATTTCTTATTATGCATAAATTATCAATTAAAATTCATCATGGGTATGTATGCAAACAATAGGTGAAGATATTGTTTTAATTAAGGTGAAAGAAGCCGCACTTGGGGTTCGGCTACGAAAACAATTAAAAAAATGGAAAATTAATAATGCTTACCAAACATTGGTTCAACCTGTCATATAATAATAATCATAATATTATAAATAGTAATAATCATATATTTATTATTTATATAATGAAAAAATAATATTATTGATTATTACTAATGTAATAAAATCACCTTTCGGCATTATTATAAAAATTCACAGAAATGTTGTAGGCGCCGTGACGTAAAGAAGCATGTCGCTCCGGGCCTCTGTAATGCTGTATAGTCCTTGTGGCTTAGCGCTTCTTTTTGATAATAATAATAATAATAATAATAATCCGGGCCTCTGTAAAGTGTTACATATATGCTATTATTGACAATTTTATTATTATAGGTATCACACGTTTTTCGGAATTATATATGAAACACGATACATATCGTAATTTTACACATGCACTCACCAGGCTCATGACGATCATGTGTTCACACATGTTTTTTTTTTTTTTTTTTTTTTTTTTTTTATTATCACACTGGCCGATTCCCACCAAGGCAGGGTGGCCCGAAAAAGAAAAACTTTCACCATCATTCACTCCATCACTGTCTTGCCAGAAGGGTGCTTTACACTACAGTTTTTAAGCTGCAACATTAACACCCCTCCTTCAGAGTGCAGGCACTGTACTTCCCATCTCCAGGACTCAAGTCCGGCCTGCCGGTTTCCCTGAACCCCTTCATAAATGTTACTTTGCTCACACTCCAACAGCACGTCAAGTATTAAAAACCATTTGTCTCCATTCACTCCTATCAAACACGCTCACGCACGCCTGCTGGAAGTCCAAGCCCCTCGCACACAAAACCTCCTTTACCCCCATCCCTCCAACCTTTTCCCTAGGCCGACCCCTACCCCGCCTTCCTTCCACTACAGACTGATACACTCTTGAAGTCATTCTGTTTCGCTCCATTCTCTCTACATGTCCGAACCACCTCAACAACCCCTTCCTCAGCCCTCTGGACAACAGTTTTGGTAATCCCGCACCTCCTCCTAACTTCCAAACTACGAATTCTCTGCATTATATTCACACCACACATTGCCCTCAGACATGACATCTCCACTGCCTCCAGCCTTCTCCTCGCTGCAACATTCATCACCCATGCTTCACACCCATATAAGAGCGTTGGTAAAACTATACTCTCATACATTCCCCTCTTTGCCTCCAAGGACAAAGTTCTTTGTCTCCACAGACTCCTAAGTGCACCACTCACTCTTTTTCCCTCATCAATTCTATGATCCACCTCATCCTTCATAGACCCATCCGCTGACACGTCCACTCCCAAATATCTGAATACATTCACCATACACTTGCAACATCTGCCACATTGCCCCCCTATCCACCCTGTCATACGCCTTTTCCAAATCCATAAATGCCACAAATACCTCTTTAGCCTTATCTAAATACTGTTGACTTATATGTTTCACTGTAAACACCTGATCCACACACCCCTACCTTTCCTAAAGCCTCCTTGTTCATCTGCTATCCTATTCTCCGTCTTACTCTTAATTCTTTCAATAATAACTCTACCATACACTTTACCAGGTATACTCAGCAGACTTATCCCCCTATAATTTTTGCACTCTCTTTTATCCCCTTTGCCTTTATACAAAGGAACTATGCATGCTCTCTGCCAATCCCTAGGTACCTTACCCTCTTCCATACATTTATTAAATAATTGCACCAACCACTCCAAAACTATATCCCCACCTGCTTTTAAACATTTCTATCTTTATCCATCAATCCCGGCTGTCTTACCCCCTTTCATTTTACCTACTGCCTCACGAACTTCCCCCACACTCACAACTGGCTCTTCCTCACTCCTACAAGATGTTATTCCTCCTTGCCTATACACGAAATCACAGCTTCCCTATCTTCATCAACATTTAACAATTCCTCAAAATATTCCCTCCATCTTCCCAATACCTCTAACTCTCCATTTAATAACTCTCCTCTCCTATTTTTAACTGACAAATCCATTTGTTCTCTAGGCTTTCTTAACTTGTTAATCTCACTCCAAAACTTTTTCTTATTTTCAACAAAATTTGTTGATAACATCTCACCCACTCTCTCATTTGCTCTCTTTTTACATTGCTTCACCACTCTTTTAACCTCTCTCTTTTTCTCCATATAATCTTCCCTCCTTGCATCACTTCTACTTTGTAAAAACTTCTCATATGCTAACTTTTTCTCCCTTACTACTCTCTTTACATCATCATTCCACCAATCACTCCTCTTCCCTCCCGCACCCACTTTCCTGTAACCACAAACTTCTGCTGAACACTCTAACACTACATTTTTAAACCTACCCCATACCTCTTCGACCCCATTGCCTATGCTCTCATTAGCCCATCTATCCTCCAATAGCTGTTTATATCTCACCCTAACTGCCTCCTCTTTTAGTTTATAAACCTTCACCTCTCTCTTCCCTGATGCTTCTATTCTCCTTGTATCCCTTGTATTATTGACAATTTTATTATTATAGGTATCACACGTTTTTCGGAATTATATATGAAACACGATACATATCGTAATTTTACACATGCACTCACCAGGCTCATGACGATCATGTGTTCACACATGTACACTCTTTAAATACCAGTCTTTAAATTTAAACGAGCAATAATCGGTTTCTTTAAATAACATTAAAACACGAGTACCTACCTCGTTGAACAAATGATCAATCACAATAACATCAAATTCCTTTCTTCTTTCATAAAGATCTTTCACCAGGGGGACTTTATACAACTCCCTAGCAAGAGTTGGCAGAGCAGTTTCAAAGAGTTGGAAGATTCCACTGGGGTTCTTACTGTTCTCAAAAAAGTTAATATCTTCCTCCCTGAAGTATGGGAGGTCGTGAGGAATATCTTCAATGTTAGGATGTTTGGACGACTTCGGTTGGTTGGTCAACATCACTATCTGAAAATTTTAGTTAAGCTGTATGTCAAGGTACGGCTGAGGGAACTTGACGAAACCCACAACGAAATTTGAATAAAGTTCATCATTTCGGAATATTAAATAGAAAATTTCTTAGGTTTTGTAAGCTTTCTTTCAATTTATTTACCTCACCGTTTAATGTTACTTAAGAAATATTTGTTAAGACATTCTCTTAGTTATACTCTGTATACTCATAACTCAATCAAATTATTCGTGAATTTATTTATGATAATTATGAAATAAAAACCTAACATATTATGTATTACCTTGTGTCCACGGTCGGCCAGAGCCTCAGCGAGAGGCATGAAGACATTCCTGTGACTCCTGGTGGAGACTGGGAGGAGCATGAGGATCTTATAGGACCTCTCAGGTGGAGACAACTTCCCCATGATGCTTCCCACTAGCATCACCACCAGTACACACATCGTCGTTGACTTCATCTACAGACAGCATTAATTACACTTTTAACATGTAATACATTTCAGTATTGTGCTCAATGTTGAAACAGTAAGCAGGCAAAGATTTATAAATGTAATAATTAATTCGTTGACAATGAGAGTGACAACGGAGATCAAGTTGATCCGAATGTGGAGTGAGAGAAACTAAGATAGATATTACAGTTTATACATTATTCTAAAATAAAACCTATCACATATCTGTAAATATCTAAATCTATTACAAAGCTATATTCAGAAGGATGACAATATTCATTAAATAATTATTACAGACAGATATATGTTATATAAATTGTTCATTAAACCAACTTTTACTCAATGCAGAGTGTGGTATTAGATCATGTCAGCAACATAGTTATCCTACGCATTTCTTTGATGTAAGATTAGCTAATATTGGTCAAGGTCAGAAACTTCTCAAATGTATTACATTCGGGTACAGTCAATTCCCGAGCATGAAAGAGAACAACATAAACAGACAAGTTCTCTCAGCCATTCACTGCATGACCACGGTAGAGTGCGGTTGTGCTCTGCACCCCTCTGCTGTTTTCAGGCGAGCTACCTTGTACCAACATGGCGCTGAGTGTGAGGCGGCGCGTAAACACCATCGGTATAGAGCTGCTTCGTGGGGCAATTTCACCCTCTTCAGCGCAGATGTTACTCCCGACCATCATTAGAGAGACGTATGGTATCCAGGACGATGAGGTGTATGGTGTTGCCATGAATGGGGCATCCAGAAACTTCGTCAAACTGAATTCCACGTCCGTGTACGAGTCTTTGGTGACGAGATTCCAAGACGTGAGTCTTGACGCTACTCCAGCTGTGAAGGTGCGTTTGATCGACGTATCTCGCCACTTTACGTGGGTTAAGAATCGTAATGTCCAATTTGAGGCAGATGAGGCTGACATCAGGGGTGTTTTCGAGGCATATGGGACTGTACATCTGGCACAACAGGGCAAGTGGATGGCTGGTGCTTACATGAACTGTCTGGAGGGAACCTTTTCCCTGAAGATGACTCTGAGACATCCCATACCGTCTTATATCGTGTTAGAGGACTTCAGGACGCAAGTTATGGTATCGTACGCCGGAAAGAGACGTACGTGCAGGTTGTGTGGGGTGTACAGCCATATGGCGGCAGCGTGAGTTAAGCTGAGGAGGGCACCTGTACAAAATGGTGAAGCACCAGTTACCAGTGTGGTAGCTGTTGTTGAGAGCCCCATGCGAAAGCAAGGGCTTGGGTGCTTGTGGAGTGAAGTGGTAGAGAATCCCATAGAGGAGACTGGCGTGTGTGAGGCAAGCTGTAACATAACAGGAACTGTTACTAAGCAGGAGAAAAGTTCAGAAGTGCAAGCGCAGGAGGAGGTACAGACTCTTGAGGAAGAGCTTCAGGAAGTGTTGAGGACATTGACGCCACCTGCTGAGGATGTTGTTCATGAGCTAGTGAGAGGCACGGCATTGCCTGTGGAGGAATGTGTTGATAAAAACCATAGCAGGGATGACAGGCCAAGCAGTAAGCGTGAGATGTCGCCGTGTGCTGTGGAACGGGGCGTGGAGGAGGTTGGGGTTCATCGTGAGGGAACCTCAGAAGACAACATGGAAGCTGAGGGCATCACGAGGAAGAGAGCGGAGGTGTCAGACTCAGATGATGTCCTGACGCCGGCGCAGAGGTCTGGGAGGAGGGAAGAGTACTGTCGAGGTAGTCAGGATGTTACAAAAAACGCATTTTCTAATAAGCATAGAGATCTCCAGTGAATACTAGAAAGGACTGCCCTTCTGGTATCGAGCCTGTTACTGGGTTTTTGTAACAAGTAGTTAGTCAGTATCCTGGTCCAATTATCCATTAGAATTCAGTAAGATTCCATAGTGCTTCAGGAATACAACTGGTAGGCTACTAACTAAAGAAATTAAAATTTAATAAGTTTATTAATAATAATAAAATTGTCTTGGCGTATATTATCAATTAAATTAAATTAATCAATTGAATATAATATAGGATACGAGTTCCTACACTTCTCTCGTGTACAGTAGTATTGTGCTGAAGGCACATATTACATCTATATGGCTATTAAGTACCGTCTGGTACATTGTTAGCATTTAATAACATAATACAAATATATACAAGTAAGTTTGTGTGTAAGTGTGTAAGTCCTCTAAGTAGTTCGCTATATCTCAAGACTCGACTAGACTTAACCAGTGACTGACTAAAAGTTCTAACATAAACTAACTTCTTGACAAACCAGGCAATCAGAACAGCTTGCTTGAACAATAAAACTACTGATAAGCCGAGCAGCAATATAACAAGCAACTGTGACACAGAATCAGGAACAGGGAGATAATATAACGACACTAAGCGTGGACCATCTGCAGATCCTCCACAAAAGTCATAAAACTCCCGTACTACTTAATCTAAGTTCAGCATTAGAAAATCCCCGACTGTGACAGTGCACAGATACCAGTACAAATTAGGTCAGAAGCTACAGCTCAGGACCTGAGTTTCTCAGAGTGTCTATGTGACACACAACCTCAGTACAACGTCGAAAATCACTAAGTCTAGGCAATGTTCTGTGAACAGAGTTACACAGAACCAACAACAAGAAAGCGATCGAGACGATCTTCCAACAAGGGCCAGCAAGGGAGAGCTAGAGGCACGTCTTGTTAGGAGAATGTCAAAAAGACAAGAGACAGCGCAGTCCAGGCCGACTACTCCAGGCGAGGGGTGACCACCCCCTGATCACGTGACTCCGTGGACTGCTGCTGCCCAGCAACACAGAGAAGCCGGCAGGGAAACGATTGTTAGACAAGGCCATCAGCTATTTAACATCAAACCACGAGCAGTGAATAATTTGTAAATGTTACATCCTACCTAATAATATAAATAAGTCAAATAATAATATAAAGCAATATATTTACGATTTAGCTATTATCGCAAATATAAGCAATATAAAATTATACGAACAGGTAATATACATTATATACATTGTTACCCATTCAGGGGTTGCAACACAGGATAAGAGGCATCACAAGAAAGCAGGGGGTTAATGGTGTGAAGACCTGTGCTGGCTCTGCGGCAGGAGGCCTTGGGATGAATGAAGAGAGGACGACGGGTTGGAAACTACAAAGAGGCCTTAGGTGTATGACTGTGAATGTAAATGGATTGTGTAATAGTGTGAAGAGGGAATGGTTTCGAATGTTTCTGTGTAAATATAGAGTGGATGTAGTGTTCCTGCAAGAACACAATTTCAAGGAGGGGAGAGAGCTGGAGGTGGCGGGGTTTCAGGTCATGACTCTGCCATCTATACGTCTGAAAGGTGGTGTGGGTATATTGAACAGGGAGGCGAGCCCGTTTGTGTTGATAAGAAGTGAGAGGGGAGGGAAGGGAGGGTGTTGTGTATGGATGGGTGGTGGATGGGGCAGAGGGTAACCTTTGTAAGTGTGTATGCACCAGCTGAGAACGATGTGAAAGTAAAGCAGGAATTTGTATTTGATGACCTAGTTTTCTTCTTATGTGGTTTACCTGTGGTGGCCATCGTTGGTGGGGACTGGAACTGTGTTATCAGGAGGGCTGATGTGGAACCAAAAGGGGCGGGGCACATGTCGGTAGCCTTACGAGAACTCTTGAGGGATAATCATTTGAGGGATGCAGTTGGAGGGGGAGTGAGGGAGGCAGAGCACACTTTCGTGAGGAGGGGTTATGTGGCTAGGTTAGATAAGTTGTACATTTCTCAAGGGGTCTTGGTAAAGTTTTTCCGCACAATAGAGGTAGCTTATTCGGATCATCGGACGGTCGTGGCACATGTGGGATGGGAGTCACTGGCGGGTATCTCTAGTGGTTATTGGAAGTTAAATACGAGTATGTTAGGAGATGAGGAGGGGTTGGAGGGATTTACAACACTGTGGGAGTGGTTAAGTGCAAAGGTACATGGGGTGGAGGATGTGGTAACATGGTGGGATGGTGTGGCTAAAGAACGAATTAGACAATATTACGTGAGAGAAGGGAAACTAATTAATTCTTTAAAATATGGGCTGGCCAACTATTTGGAGGACAGGTTAAGGGGTTGTTATGCGAGAGTTGCGGTGGTGGGTATTTATCCTATGGATGACATACTGACACTTAAGGGGAGGCTGCACGAGCTACAAGATGAAAGGTTCCAAGCGGTGAGTGTAATGGCAGGCGTGGAAGAGGTGTTATGGGGCGATAGGCCTTCGTCGTGTGTATTGCATAGGCAAAAGCAACGGCAGCAGGCAACATCTATTCCATGGCTGGAGGTTCATGAGTCAGTAGGTGGGTATAGGGTGGGTCAGGTTATACACGCCACAGATGGAATGGGAGTGTTTGCAGACGAGTGGTATGGCAAGTATTGGCAAAGGGATGGGGTAGGAGCTGGGGTTTTAAAACATGTGTGTGAGAATGTGATATGTCTATTGTGAAACAGTGATAGGGAAGCATTGGGTGGGGAAATAACTGAGGGAGAAACAGGGAAGGCTTTAAGTGGATAGATAGCATGGATAGAGGCATGGCTTACCAATAGAAAGCAGAGAGTTACCATTAATGGAGTGAAATCTGAATAGGGATTAGTCACTAGTGGTGTTCCACAAGGATCAGTTTTAGGCCTCTCTTGTTCATAATTTACATTAATGACCTTGGTGAAGGCATTACGAGTGACATGAGTAAGTTTGCTGATGATACAAAGATAGGCCGTATAATTCACTCTGAGGAGGATAGCAATGAACTCCAGGAGGATTTGGACAAATTAATGTCTTGGTCTGAAAAATGGCAGATGAAGTTTAATGTGGATAAGTGTAAGGTACTTGCCCTTGGTAATGAAAATAACCCTCGAAGCTATAATCTAGGTGAAGTAGAGCTTGATCATACAGAATGTGAAAAAGACTTGGGAGTCATGGTAAGCAGAAATCTAAAGCCAAGGCCTTAGTGTGCGCAACAAGGCCAACAGATTACTTGGATATATCTCAAGAAGTATAAGTAACAG